GGGGGGGGGAGTTGTCCCCTAGGGGAGTGGAATGTGGCTGGTCTTCACCCCCAGCAAGCCACAGGCCTCCCCGAGGGCCTGAGAGAGCATCTCCGTGCCCCTGTCTTCCACATGCAGAGATGGAGAGCATCTGGAAGTAGGAGGTGGGCAGGGAGCTGGGGTCAAGCCAGACGCCTCGGGTCTTCACTATGCCCACACTGCCCCCTCATCATTTCACCAGTGTGACTCCACTGATGCTCCAGGATAAGGCTTGGAGGGGTGAGCGAGGGGCGCCAGCAATGGTAACGCCCGCCTGCTCTGAGGAACCCCCCCTTTGGATTAACTTCCAGAAGCGCGACCTCAAGACCACCAACCCCTCAGCTCTCTGCCAGTGTGTCGCCATCGTGGGAAACCTCAGCGCTGACGCTGCCACCAGAAGACAGCTGGCCGGCTGTGAAGAGTTCGGGGACGCCTGCTTAGGCTTCATGGTATTTTAACTCTGATACTCAAAGTGGCCTCTTTGAGGGCCTCAGATTCTTCTGAATTAGCTCTGCTTTTTCCAAAAAGGCTGGTCTCGAGAGTGTGGGAGCAGGGGGCTCCCTCCCGTGTAATGTGGGATGAGAGGAGCTGCCAGACTTGCACACTGCAGGCAGAGTCTCGTCCACCCTGAAGAGGTCCGAAGGGCTCTACCATGGCCTTGGCCGCATTGCCCACGTTAGCAACTCATTATTCAGTTTGGACACTTCCTCTCCCTACACAAACACTGACTCAAGGAACTGGTCTGGGGCCCTCCAACGCCACGTAGACTCTTAGCGCCGACACCTTAGAGGGTGGGCCGTGCCGAGGCCCTGGGCGGGGTGAGGGCAACAAGCTGGCGGTAGAGAGTGGTAAAGCAGAAGGTTCATCGGTGACCTTGTGCTTCCAAAGGCCAAATGTGAGGAGGATGCGGACGTGTTCAGAGACGTCATGTACACGTTCCTGGGTCTCCTGATGAACCTGTGTGTGCACGCCCCCTTTGTCTCTGAGGTACGTTGTCCTTCCCGTCCTGCCTGCACCCTTGGGTGGAGCTGGGCCCCTTCCGTCGCATAGACCCGTTCTCAGTTTGACAAAGAGAGCGGAAGAGTGTGCAGCCCCACAATGGTCCTGGCCGCGGACCAGGCGGGTGGCCCTTGAGGTTTGCTGTGCTGAGGGGTGGACGGGGCGTCCTCTAGTCACGTGTTCGTTCACCTGTGCTGAGGGAGCACAGGACCGGGTGCTCGCTTTACAAAGTCGACCCGAATGTGGTTCCTGTCCTCAAGGTTTCACCGTGCAGTTGGGGGGTTCAGACTTAGGAAGACGTCAGAGTGGTGCCAGGAGGGGCTCGGAGGGAACTCTGGACAGGAGGGTGCGGGCGTTAGAAGGGGGAGTGGATGGTTCTGTGGGAGAGCTCAAAGAAGCTCCATGGAGATCCTGTCGCAGGGAATGAAGCCCCGCTCCCTCCCCTCCCCTGCTGCAGGCGTGGGCCATGGAGGTGACCAGGAGGTGCGTGGTTCTGCTGGACAGCCAGGACGGAGGAATCCTAACAGTAAGCCTCTCCCAGAGAAGCCCAGAAATGGCTTCCCTTGGTCTCCTCTTTTATCCATTTTAAATAGCAGTGAGTCTTCACTTATCTGAGGCCACCACACCTCTGAGAATCAGCTGAGTCCCTCTGTGTCAGGGGAGCCAGCCCCTAACAAATCATCACAGGCCTGGCGGGCGCAATTGTACAGTGATAATAAGTAAAGATTATAGAAAAGTCATAGAAAATAAGGAGAGATAGAAGAGAGATTGAAGTAATGGAGTCAGACACATTTCATGGTCGCATGCTCACCTCAGCTCCTCTTGGTGGTCCATGTGGAGATGGGAGACATGAGGGCAGGAGAGAGGGGGAAGGGAAGGAGGACCAGGGGAGTGAGGACCAGGGGGGAGAGCCTTTTATTGCTAACCAAGGCTTATATGTCTTTGGGGGGGTGTGCAAGCCCCTTAATTACAGGTGAATACATACATCACAGGAAGGGGTTGTACTATAGGTAATACCAGGGGTCTTCAAGCTTTTTAAACAGGGGCCAGTTCGCTGTCCCTCAGACCGTTGGAGGGCCAGACTATAGTTTAAAAAAAAAAAAACTATGAACAAATTCCTACGCACTCTGCACATAATTTTGAAGTAAAAAAAATAAAACGGGCAAAAACACCCGGCAGGCCGGATAAATGTCCTCGGTGGGCCGCATGTGGCCCATGGGCCGTAGTTTGAGGACCCCTGGGTAATACAGTAATGAGAGGGGGATGATCTAGGGACATACACTCACTAGGAAGGGGAGGGATTGGGTTATATATGTGACAAGATGGGAGGATCCTAGATTCAGGATGGCAGCCTAACTTTGGATGTCACTAAGCAGGTTTGACCACTTCTCTGGCTCTCCATGGGAACATTTACTATACTTATCAGTAGGGTGTGAGCCCCACCTGAAGTGGACCAACTGATGTCTGAATGCCTTCAGGGAGAATATCTCTAAGCACCTGACCTTTGACCATGTGCTGGGAAACAGCCTCTAATGTTTGGCATATCTTTGGGGGAGACAAAGCTGGGGAAAAGTCTTTTGTACCCCACACCTAGATACATGTAGGCATACCACGCAGAACAATGCCCGTGGCCCATACAGACTGCATTTGGCCTACTGTTTATGAGGCTCTGAAGACCCCAGGATGCCCATGGGTACAGAAGCAAGAGCACACTGGGTCCAGAAACACAATCTCTGTGTGGTTCGGAATGTAGCCAGCACTATAATGCAATGCAATCGAGCAGACTTATCTTGTTTAAAAAACTCCCCTGTGAGAACCAGCTGATCTGAGTGACCTTGTGTGGGTCATTTTGAAGCTGGCTTTAACCCCCTTGCAGGGACTCGCTGGGGGGCTTTCCCAACCCTCTTTGTGACTATTGGGTCAGAAGGCCCAGAAAGATCTCTGATCGGCAGCCCTTAATAATATGATTCAAGAGGCCATCATCATCATCATCCTGGGGTGTGTTCTTCACTCGGATAATACTTGCCAACCCTGCCTTTCCACCTGTCAGGACCAGGGCCCTAAAGCCTCGAGAGACCAGGACAGTCAGGGGTCAGGTCCAGGCACGTCTGGAAGCCCTGCCCTTCAGGTGTCAGACCAGGTTGCGGGAGCCAGGGTTTTCGTAAAGGCCCCAAGTGGACCCAACATGTCCTGCCAGGGACAGCACTGTACAACTGCAGCCAGTGTCAGTCTGTGCTCCACTAGCGTGTGGTAGGGCTCAGTCTCCTGCCCCCCGCCAGTGCAGACTGCAGAATAGTTTCCGTGTAGGTATATTCTCAAGGAAGGGACTTGGGAGCCTACATCCCCACCATCCAGAAAAGGCCCCAACTCCTGAGAGCAGTGGAGTCTGCCCCATCTGGAGTCCTGACCCGCTTTTGAAGCTCCAACAAAAGCTAAGGTGTACTTCCACTTTGGGAAGCACAAGTCTAGACCTAAATCTAGGCTACACTCCAAGTGGACCCCTTCCCAACTGGCCTGCTCCGAGTCACGGAAGCCCCACGTGCGCCAGTCAAAGTAGAGCCAGGCTCCACAGGGCTCTCTCTGGCATGGTGGTGAAATACCCGTGGCCTGGGCAATGTGGCTTGGCGGTGACAGCTTCCACACAAACCGTGACGCTGACAACATTCTCCCCGTTGTATACGCAGCCTCAGTCCCTTGTCCCAAGACAGCCACCCCCGTGAGCACAAACAACACTGCACACGGCGTCCCCGTGGCCGACTCACAAAATTGCCCACTCAGCCTGCCTCCCAAGGACCTCCACGTGGACCTGAACTTCCAGCCTTTCCAGCTGCACCATTCACACCATCCAGGCCAATAGCATTGGCCCCTGGGTGACCCCTCAAGGGATCTCGAGGGCCAGGTTTCCGCTGGCATCTGCACATGCCCAGCCCACGGTCCTGCTGTTGGACAGTCCTCTCCACTGCAGTCGGTCTGCCTGGAGACCCGTAGCATCAGCTCCCCCCGCAGTCTACAGAGAAGAGGGCAGCAAGGCCCACGGTGTGATAGTGCACACGGGGACCCCAGCTCCCTCCAGAGAGCTGATTAAGACAAGACTAGAGGTTTCACTTTTTTTGTTTTTTTGCTCAAAAAACCCCCCAAAACGGAAACCCATATTGACAATGCAGACGGCGAGTCCCATGAATCCGTTTGACAGGTCTCTGGAAGACAGGGAACAGCGGTTGGGCATGCTGGAGAATGAGGAGTGCCGACCAAGCCTGACTGCGCACTGCTGGGAAGGCGATGGTTTGCCACACGCTGCTCTGGAAGGAACAGAGGCTCCCAGGTCCCAGCACGGCCAGGGGCAGAGCCAGAGGTGGGAAGCCAGGTGTCTGTCCCCCAGCTGTCAAAGCAGAGCCTCTGCCTGAAGCAATTGGAAGACTGGAGAGAAGGTCTTACTGTTCTAATCTAAAAGGAAGGTGTTGTCCTCCTGAGCGGCAGAAACACGTCCAGCCCTCAACTACTAGTGGAAAGGTCAGCCTTTCGATAAGACCCGGAGGCAGCTTGGAAGAAAGGCCTGGCAGTCTGCTTCCAGCAGGACCCAGCAGCCCTGCAGGGACCGCCGTCAGAATCGGCTTGACACTCGCAGCCAACCATGAGAATTCAAGGGCACCACCTCCCGATCGACGGTGTCGTCAACACAGCTGACCAAGTACCACATTGTCACTGTCGGATTTCCCTTTCTTTCCAAATGTGATTGAGCGTATTTCAGGGGGAGCCTGACACATCAAAAGAAAACTAAGATTAGCAAACAGGAAAACCAACCCAAAGCACACAGAAATCGTGTAAGGAAGAGAAGAGACAAGAACACACGGGCACATGGGCACATGATTTGTGTCCCCGCGCAGCGGCGGGACAGTGTTATAGCCGCCAAACGGAACCCTCCAGAAAGCAGAACAAAGAGACAAAGATTCAGAGAGGGTTGACGCGGGAAGCCTGTCAGATTACCCTGGACGTGGAGGATCACCCTCCCTTCCCTAGACTGAGCCCACCGCTGGCCCTTGATCAGCAGGATCACGCTGGACTGGCTGCACCCATGGGCAAGGGCTGCAGGCCTTTGGATTCTTGCCAACTCTTCTGGCCCCTGAGAGGCAGGTAGAACTGCCCCGGTGGGTTCCCTGACTAGCTCCTTACGGAGCAGAAGCCTCCTTTCTCTCCCACGGGGCAGCTGGTGGTTCCAGTGGCTGACCTTGTGGTTAGCAGCCAGCTCCTCACCCACTGTGCCACCAGGGCTCCTGAGAAAGATCCACACTTGGTGTTTATAACTTAGTCCTTATGTTGTTTTCTTTTTAAGTAGAGATGCAGATTTTATTTTTTGTTTTCAGTACTACTGTTTTCCCCTCATCCCCTGCTGGTGAAGCGTTAGGGTCACCAGAAGAGAACATGCCTGGTCTTCTGTGTTCTGCTTCCCGCAGAGAGCGGCTGGCGTTCTGAGCCGGACCCTTCCCACCTCGCTGAAGATAGTGCAGGAGGCGCTGCAGGCAGGGGTGGTGAGGAAGATGATCAAATTCCTGAAGGTAAGATAACGTCCCTTGCTACAGCCTCTTGATGGCAAGGTGCCTCATGTTTTATTTGGGGAATAGAGTGAAGGAGGGCTTTGTTCCGTTCAAGGAGTCCTCGTGGTGCAGTGGGTTGAGTGTTGGGCTGCTGACTGCAAGAGCAGAGGTTCAAATCCACCAGCTGCTCCGAGGGAGAAAGATGAGTCTATCCACTTCTGTAAGGATTGACAGTCTCGGAAATCCTAAGGAGCAGTTCTGCTCTGCCCTATAAGGAGCTATGAGTTAGAATCAACTCAACCACAGTGGGTTTGGGGGTCCTTCCCCACTTAAGGAGTTCTGGTAGTGCAGTGGTTAAGCAGTCTGCTGCAAACCAAAAGGCTGGCCGTTGGAGCCCGCCTGCTCTCTGGGGCAGTGAGACGTGGCAGTCTGCTTACACAACAAGGCAGTCAGTCCTAGGGCTTGCTCCATGAATGTGCTATTTCACCCCTGCCACATTTTGATTTTATTGTATTTATTTGGTTTTATTAATCACTTGGTCGGGGGCAGGGGTGGGGGCGTCTTACAAATCTTCTTACAACCCATCCTTCAGTTGTTTGAAGCACACTTGCACATATGTTGCCATCAACATTTCCAAAACATTTTCTTTCTATTTGAGCCCTTGGTATCAGCGCCTCTTTTTTCTCCTCCTTCCCCACCCTTCCACCCTCGTGAATCCTTGCTCA